TGGTCACGTGCTCTTTTCTATGGTTTAGGAACAACTACAAAGTATAATCAAAGTCGTGTGGCATCAACGGCACACACTCAATATTAAAAATAGAAACTAAATATCATACCCATTTTTGTGGCTTCTTAAAAGCTGCAAATACGTTGATTAAAAAAAAAAAAGTTCCACAGCCACCTGACTTCCGCCAACTACTCGTCCTCTATATTTCTTCTTCATCTCCAGTCCAGTTTCGGCTTCGGCTTCGAGCAGTTTCGGTTCTTGACTTCAGTAAAAAATATACCTGACGCTGTAGTAATACACTGATTGGGTAGTCTTCTGACGCCGTAATAAATCACCTGGCAAAAAATAAAAAAAAAATTCTGGGGGGTGTCAGTGTCCCTTTAATGAGAGATTTCATTAACTGAAAAGCGGCTTTATCAAGGATGTTCGTATGGGAAAAGGCTAGCGCCAAATCAATATTTACGTGCCGGCAGCACCCCACCACAAGTGAGGTGACCTTTTGTTTGCTAACAAGCAAAGAAACAACCGAAAGCAAATAAAAAAAAATATTGAAAGTAACTTGGAGAACATAATAGCGCTTCACGACAGGGACGAAGGGTAGGAACGAGACAACACACCTACCCTTCGTCCCTGTCGTGAAGCGCTATTATGTTCTCCAAGTTTCAGTACCAACTCGCCCAAGAATCCGCATTATTGAAAGTAACTTTCAAAACATAAAAAAAGAGAAATGTTTTGCTCCGTGTCCTATATATATATATATATTTGCTCGTGTTCCATAAACCAACCTTAAACATAGGATGGGGCGCACTCGTTTTTGAAAACACCGCAATCCCCGCAATGAACACCGAGTAGTGATGAAGTCCAGACTGCAGCCCTGAGGAGAAAGTTGGTGAAACGGCTCAAAAAATAAGTTCTCAAGTTCCTTTCTGGCCCTTTCATTTTTGCGGACTTGTCCGTCAAGATACTCCCGCAGTATCTTCGCGCGCGTCGTGTGCACGGGACAGTGCGGACGTTATTAGGGAGGTTCTGAAAGGTTGTGCTAAGAGACTAGGTAAATATTGTTAATGTAGCTGCTTGGGCGAGTTGGTTGCTCATATTAACAGACACTACAGCACACTACACTGTGGCCAGCGTTCTGTCAACTTTAAAAAAAATGCCTGGAACCATTGTATATTACTCATGAGCTTCCCGAAGAAGGATCTATCCGATTCTTAGATCTCGGGCTTCATTTCCGACAAAATTATATATGCTGGACATATGAACCAAGGGGCAGAAAACCAATTCTTCCTTTCAATTCGACGGATTCTAAGCGGGTAAAAAGAGGAATCGTAAAATCATGTCTAAACAACTCTTTTAAAAAAATCTTGCGAGCACTCCATTTCAGTAAGCTTTCATGCGCAAATTTCAAGATTAACTTCTGCCGGATATCCAATCTCTTCATTAACATCGATTGCCGGAAAGCATCCTGAAAACGAAAAATAAAGGAACATCTGTCACACCAAGAGCCAGACATAGAACCACGAGACCAGTCGTTCTTCCGTACATACTCAGGTTCTCGCATGGCATAAAAAAAATCGCTATAATTTTAACATCGACGTCGTCTTCTCTGCTCCTAATAAGCTTGCCAACCTGTGCAAACAAGTCAACTCACCATATTCCCACCGAACAGTAAGCTGTCCCAAGAAACATCATAACAGCTTCGTCAAGTGCGCGGAGCAAATGGTGTATTCATTTGCCCTTTCGTGCGGCAAAAGGTACATATGGCAGACTGGACGATGCCTTAATGATAGGCTCCATGAACACAAAAACAATAGCACCAGAGCTAACTCTGACCACCTGGGCATACACTGCCGTGATTGTGGGTGCGAGGTTCACCTGCCATCTTGTACAATTTTAGGTAGACACAAAGATCAATTAACGACAAAAATTATTGAAGCCGAACACATCGTCAGGAATTATGAAAACTGTTTCAGCACACCATCTTTGAACCTGATAGAAAAAGAAAAAAAAATTCTGGGTGTCTATACTCGATTTCCCCTTATGATGTACGGCAAGAAAGCCTACGGGCGCGAGCTCCTTGCTCTAGGGCACATCTCGGCGGCACAAACTCTCGTACATTAAGGGCAGCTGCCAACGTTATGAGCTCGCGCTTCTAGCCTTCGCTGCGGTACAACATAAGGTGAAACGGAGTATAGGAGATTGGTGCGCGTGATTCGGGAGATTTAGTAGTTCCAGACGTAGAAGAAGACAAAGTATATAAGAACGAGTTGTCAGTCAGCGCGGTTCGTTTGAATTTTTCCTTTTCGTGTGTAAGGAAGGAGTGTATGATGTGAGTGTACGTTTGGAGTGTGCGCTGTATAGTGAGTGTTAATACGTAAATATGATCACGATCTTCGCTGGGCAAAGACCACAAGCACCTTGTTTTTAGAACTTGGATAGCCTGGCTCTTCTTGCCATTTTAAAGGACCATTCCTCTTTTGTGCTCTCCAACTCTGCGCCCCACGGGCTGAGGACGTGGGGGTTCAGGTTTCCTTTGCAAAAGCCGCACCGAGTGCCGCATAGCTGACGTACCTTATGACGCGCAGTGCTGGCCTCGAGGACGAGGCTCTCTAGCCTCGGTAAATAACTATGGGTTGTCAAGACGATTCCCGGAAGCCATGAGCGATGGGGAACATGACCCTCTCAGGCGGTTGGGGTAAGGGGCTGGGAGTTGAATCAGGGGGTCGGGCGTCCGCGTTTGGACATTGCTGTTCCGCGAAACAATGTTCGCGCAAAGTCGTCGACACAACGAACCCCATAATTCACTGTCTCACCGCCTCACACCGACGGAAGGGCGTGTCAAAGACTGCCCATCCAAAATCGCGGCGGTATACATTTGTTGTTGTTTCCGAATGTGTGTAGGAAACCTCACTCTTGGCGGCTCCGGATATCTTCTCCATCGGTGCCTTAGCACAACATAATTGGGAGGAAGTGTTTCCTCCCAACTACGCTGTTTATAGAAAGGACCGGATATCACGTGGTGGTGTTGTCTTCTTGCTGGTAGCAAACTCACTTCATAATTCTGCCGTGGCCGAAGTGACGAACGTAACTGAGGCTGCATGGTGCAGAATACAGCTGACGTTTGTCTACTAATATCAGAGTTGAAGTGTTCTACCGGCCACCTTCTGATGATAGCGGGTCAATAGCTGCCCTTGGCGACATGGTGTCGAGTTTTGATGATGATGTAATCATTCTTGGAGCGGATTTTAGCCTCCCTGGTTTAAAGTAAGTCGCTGGCTCGTGCAACACGTCTGATCAGTCTGCTGTGAATCGTTCATTTTTATATTGTTCACACTTTTGGTTTTTTGAAATGTGTTACAGTGCCAACACGTGGCGATAACATACTTGATTTACTGCTATGTAACTGCCCTGATGTCGTTGACGCGTTTGTGTGGTACCACGAATTAAGGATCACAATATGGCTATTGCTGACGTTCTTTGCCCTTTTCGTCAAAATCACGTCGATGACATTGCACGAAAGGTGTTTTTGTATGACTAAGATGTTTACGAAAGCATTATTTGTTGTCTGGATAGTTTCTACTCCACCTTCTTTGATCATATGCACGACACAGACACATACGATTTATGGTTAATTTTCAAAGATAGACTACTCAGTGCTGTGAATCTGTACATTCCGTCGAGTGTCCACAGACGAACGCCGTCAGCTTTGCCCTGTCATGTGGATACTAATGCTAACGCATTAATAAAGCCTGCTTCCGGAAGGAGAATTGCAAGGAGCGATATTATGCAGGCGAGCTGGTTAGGAAACACCATAATCTAAACCCTAAGATAAAGGGAAATAAAGTAACGGACAGAACGACACAAAATTACAAACGCAGCTGAGTTTATTCGCAAGTGAACAACAGTTTATAGCCGTTCACACAGAGAGGAAAGAGGAGGACAAAAAGTTTGTCAACCTAAACTTTGGTCGCCAAAAGTCATAATGAACGAAGCAAGTGGTGTGTAACGTGCGCGCACAAGGGAGACAAGGAACCGCGACTCCCCATTTTTTCCGTGTGCCGGTTGATTATCGAACTCACCGGAGTAAGCGAGCAGGGGTGGGGATTGACCCCAGGTTTCCTGGGCTCGCGTTGCGTGCTGTGCTACGCCATCAACCCTTCCAGAGTCTCGGGCAGGGCAGTTCGGAACCGGGGGATCTACGCATTCCCCCACCGAGCCGGAGCATGCAATGTGAGGGGAGGGCAACCACCGGGCGAGGTGCAGAGAAACACTTCCCGTGCGCGTCGGTGAATTCAGAAACGAGGCAAGGATTCCGGGAAACTCGCGTGGGGGAGGCTCGAAAGAGTATACGTTGAGCATCCGAGGGGGCGGGACGCCATCAGACTCCAAAGGTCTCGCGAGGTTCATAACATCTGTAACCCAGTTCTAATATATGTAAATAAACTGCGTACATATTTATTTGACACCTTCACCCGGGGTGCCTCTGTGCTTCTCTATGATCTCCGTCGGCAAAGGCGCAATCCGGGTTGCCAAAATCTCATCTGCGGCAACCACCATAAGAACTTAACTAAGATGCTCATTTTGATATATTTTGCGCCGTTTTATATGAAGTTCGTTGGTAAATAATTAGTGAAAATGTCTCTAAAACGTATTTATTTGATAAAATATTTCGTTTTTTTTTTTGCATAGACATTTTATTGTATTTTTTTTATTCTGTGCACTTCTGAACGTTTCATACAATAAATCGAGAGAAAAAAAAGCCCATTATTACGTGCATTATCCGATGTGAAATTGACGGCTGTACAAAAGTGCAATAGTGAAACCTTGGCAATCATCACGCCTCGAGTTTCTAAATTTTATATCTCCTAAAAGAAAATTAGCTACAGCGTTCACAAATCGTCCTACCAAGGACATGGCTATAACATATTTTTTTTTTTACAAAAATATATAAAAATTATGAGCCAGATATGTGACTCGTGCTTACCATGATTGTGTTTCAGTTACGTGAATCATGTCCTGTACTGGTCGGTCATGTCACCTAACCCCGGGAAAGAAGTCAGGGCACCGGATGGGGCCCTCGCAGAAGAAATTGATGAGAAGTTTGGCTCCTTCAAGAACTTTATGTTCGTCTTCTCAGAGCAAGCGGCGTCCCTGTTGGGCTGTGGTATGTGGCATTTGACCCAAGGAATGATTCTTGCTTCCGGTTTCTATTTCGTATTTCCAGTGTCACTTTTTTTCCCATGTGGGACGCTGTCGAAGGGGACCATGCGGAGAATGTTACAGCAATGCGGGACTTTGTGAATGTTGCTTCCAAGAGAAAATTTATGGGTCAGGCTTGGAGAAAAAGGGGGGGGGGGGGGGGGTTCCCGAGGTCTATTTCTGTGACCTAATAATTACTATTTCACAAAAACACTAAACATTTAGAAAATAAGAAAAAAAACTAATGTAAGTATTTTTATATACAAAAGTCGGGAAGCTTTAGGAGTATCGTAGTGCTGTCCTCCAAAATACTAGTGTGGTGGGAAGTGCTCATTCGGGCACATTCCTAATCGGTAAAATTGGATGTCTGTCAATAGCCTTCGAAGTCAAATGCGAAAGAGCGCCAATGCTGTGTTCGTGCTAACAGTGTCACTAAGTGTATATAGAAGTGACCTTCGCAGCCGCATGGGTTTCAATTCCTTATTTTCACGCCTATTTTTCTCCTTTCCTTTCTTAAAGGGGTACAAAAAGAAAATTTCGGTGCTCATCTCTTTACTTTAACATGATGCGAATTGAACTATGACTTCACAAACACCAATATTTTATAAGAAAACGGAAGGATACATATTTTAAACTGAATTAAACATACATACAGAAGTTATTGCATAATAAACGAGTACGTAAATTACCCAGGCCCGCAAAAGCACGTATGTGCTTGTGGGAGGGAAACTGTTACAAGGGATAGAAATAGTGCTGACTCTTACACAAAACCACGTACACAAAACAAGTTACGAACTCCGTAAATATTAAACTTGGAAAACCACAAGATTCAAGCACTAACATAGAACAACGTGCCAACTTACTTCCCACTTTAAAAATAAACACAAAAAACACCAGAGGTTACAATTTTTGTTATGCATCAAGGTTATTACACCACTCTCTCAGCTCTCTCTTAACAATCCTAAGTGACTGCACATCTAAAAGACAATTTGGAAGCATGTTACAACAATATGCAACATCAAATATTGGTATGAGTTGTTAATTAAAACAAATGACAAGCGGCGTGCGTTAACCCGCCACGGGTACCCCTGGTCCGAGGAGTTAAAAATTACAGTTAAGGCTGCTCACGTGTAGGATGCATTATAGTCCCGCGGGTGAAATATTTTCGAGTAATGTTTCTACATGTATTAAAGTTTAAGACGATGTATAGGACGACGCCGCCGAGGACGACCTCATGGGCGACGTCTAGGAGGACCTCTAGGACGGCGTCAAGAACGACGCCTAGGACGACCTTAAGGACCACGTTTAGAGCGACGCCTAGAGGACGACGTCTAAGACGACGTCAAAAACGACACCTAGGGGACGACGTCTAGGACGACCTCTAGGACGGCGTCAAGAACGACGCCTAGGACGACCTTAAGGACCACGTCTAGAGCGACGCCTAGAGGACGACGTCTAAGACGACGTCAAAAACGACACCTAGGGGACGACGTCTAGGACGACCTCTAGGACGGCGTCAAGAACGACGCCTAGGACGACCTTAAGGACCACGTTTAGAGCGACGCCTAGAGGACGACGTCTAAGACGACGTCAAAAACGACACCTAGGGGACGACGTCTAGGACGACCTCTAGGACGGCGTCAAGAACGACGCCTAGGACGACCTTAAGGACCACGTCTAGAGCGACGCCTAGAGGACGACGTCTAAGACAACGTCAAAAACGACACCTAGGGGACGACGTCTAGGACGACCTGTAGGACGGCGTCAAGAACGACGCCTAGGACGACCTTAAGGACCACGTTTAGAGCGACGCCTAGAGGACGACGTCTAAGACGACGTCAAAAACGACACCTAGGGGACGACGTCTAGGACGACCTCTAGGACGGCGTCAAGAACGACGCCTAGGACGACCTTAAGGACCATGTCTAGAGCGACGCCTAGAGGACGACGTCTAAGACGACGTCAAAAACGACACCTAGGGGACGACGTCTAGGACGACCTCTAGGACGGCGTCAAGAACGACGCCTAGGACGACCTTAAGGACCACGTTTAGAGCGACGCCTAGAGGACGACGTCTAAGACGACGTCAAAAACGACACCTAGGGGACGACGTCTAGGACGACCTCTAGGACGGCGTCAAGAACGACGCCTAGGACGACCTTAAGGACCACGTCTAGAGCGACGCCTAGAGGACGACGTCTAAGACGACGTCAAAAACGACACCTAGGGGACGACGTCTAGGACGACCTCTAGGACGGCGTCAAGAACGACGCCTAGGACGACCTTAAGGACCACGTCTAGAGCGACGCCTAGAGGACGAAGTCTAAGACGACGTCAAAAACAACACCTAGGGGGCGACGTCTAGGACGACCTCTAGGATGGCGTCAAGAACGACGCCTAGGACGACCTTAAGGACCACGTCTAGAGCGACGCCTAGAGGACGACGTCTAAGACGACGTCAAGAACGACACCTAGGGGACGACGTCTAGGACGACCTCTAGGACGGCGTCAAGAACGACGCCTAGGACGACCTTAAGGACCACGTCTAGAGCGACGCCTAGAGGACGACGTCTAAGACGACGTCAAGAACGACACCTAGGAGACGACGTCTAGGACGACCTCTAGGATGGCGTCAAGAACGACGCCTAGGACGACCTTAAGGACCACGTCTAGAGCGACGCCTAGAGGACGACGTCTAAGACGACGTCAAAAACGACTCCTAGGGGACGACGTCTAGGACGACCTCTAGGACGGCGTCAAGAACGACGCCTAGGACGACCTTAAGGACCACGTCTAGAGCGACGCCTAGAGGACGACGTCTAAGACGACGTCAAAAACGACATTTAGGGGACGACGTCTAGGACGACCTCTAGGACGGCGTCAAGAACGACGCCTAGGACGACCTTAAGGACCACGTCTAGAGCGACGCCTAGAGGACGACGTCTAAGACGACGTCAAAAACGACACCTAGGAGATGACGTCTAGGACGACCTCTAGGACGGCGTCAAGAACGACGCCTAGGACGACCTTAAGGACCACGTCTAGAGCGACGCCTAGAGGATGACGTCTAAGACGACGTCAAAAACGACACCTGGGGGACGACGTCTAGGACGACCTCTAGGACGGCGTCAAGAACGACGCCTAGGACGACCTTAAGGACCACGTCTAGAGCGACGCCTAGAGGACGACGTCTAAGACGACGTCAAAAACGACACCTAGGGGACGACGTCTAGGACGACCTCTAGGACGGCGTCAAGAACGACGCCTAGGACGACCTTAAGGACCACGTCTAGAGCGACGCCTAGAGGACGAAGTCTAAGACGACGTCAAAAACGACACCTAGGGGACGACGTCTAGGACGACCTCTAGGACGGCGTCAAGAACGACGCCTAGGACGACCTTAAGGACCATGTCTAGAGCGACGCCTAGAGGACGAAGTCTAAGACGACGTCAAAAACGACACCTAGGGGACGACGTCTAGGACGACCTCTAGGACGGCGTCAAGAACGACGCCTAGGACGACCTTAAGGACCACGTCTAGAGCGACGCCTAGAGGACGACGTCTAAGACGACGTCAAAAACGACACCTAGGGGACGACGTCTAGGACGACCTCTAGGACTGCGTCAAGAACGACGCCTAGGACGACCTTAAGGACCACGTCTAGAGCGACGCCTAGAGGACGACGTCTAAGACGACGTCAAAAACGACACCTAGGGGACGACGTCTAGGACGACCTCTAGGACGGCGTCAAGAACGACGCCTAGGACGACCTTAAGGACCACGTCTAGAGCGACGCCTAGAGGACGACGTCTAAGACGACGTCAAAAACGACACCTAGGGGACGACGTCTAGGACGACCTCTAGGACGGCGTCAAGAACGACGCCTAGGACGACCTTAAGGACCACGTCTAGAGCGACGCCTAGAGGACGACGTCTAAGACGACGTCAAAAACGACACCTAGGGGACGACGTCTAGGACGACCTCTAGGACTGCGTCAAGAACGACGCCTAGGACGACCTTAAGGACCACGTCTAGAGCGACGCCTAGAGGACGAAGTCTAAGACGACGTCAAAAACGACACCTAGGGGACGACGTCTAGGACGACCTCTAGGACGGCGTCAAGAACGACGCCTAGGACGACCTTAAGGACCACGTCTAGAGCGACGCCTAGAGGACGACGTCTAAGACGACGTCAAAAACGACACCTAGGGGACGACGTTTAGGACGACCTCTAGGACGGCGTCAAGAACGACGCCTAGGACGACCTTAAGGACCACGTCTAGAGCGACGCCTAAAGGACGACGTCTAAGACGACGTCAAAAACGACACCTAGGGGACGACGTCTAGGACGACCTCTAGGACGGCGTCAAGAACGACGCCTAGGACGACCTTAAGGACCACGTCTAGAGCGACGCCTAGAGGACGACGTCTAAGACGACGTCAAAAACGACACCTAGGGGACGACGTCTAGGACGACCTCTAGGACGGCATCAAGAACGACGCCTAGGACGACCTTAAGGACCACGTCTAGAGCGACGCCTAGAGGACGACGTCTAAGACGACGTCAAAAACGACACCTAGGGGATGACGTCTAGGACGACCTCTAGGACGGCGTCAAGAACGACGCCTAGGACGACCTTAAGGACCACGTCTAGAGCGACGCCTAGAGGATGACGTCTAAGACGACGTCAAAAACGACACCTGGGGGACGACGTCTAGGACGACCTCTAGGACGGCGTCAAGAACGACGCCTAGGACGACCTTAAGGACCACGTCTAGAGCGTCGCCTAGAGGACGACGTCTAAGACGACGTCAAAAACGACACCTAGGGGACGACGTCTAGGACGACCTCTAGGACGGCGTCAAGAACGACGCCTAGGACGACCTTAAGGACCACGTCTAGAGCGACGCCTAGAGGACGAAGTCTAAGACGACGTCAAAAACGACACCTAGGGGACGACGT